ATATTGCATATATTTATAAAGCTGGTAACAGATATTATCATTTCTATTATGCATTAATTTCTGTTTTTTTATCTGCGACATCTGGTATACTTGTTGAATGATTATTACATGATAGAATTATTGCTTCATAGTGATATGATGGTACCAATTTTTGACATTAGAGAAAATCGAAAATAAAAGTGCTTCATTAGAAACAGTTCATTTAATCCTTTTTGGGATAAAAAGCAAATGCATATAGGCGTTTTCCATTCCGGAACAGTTCAGATCTATTGATGCGTGCTATTTATCATTGATCTATGATTTGGAACGAGCGACATATATATATATATGTTGTATCAGTCTGTGAAAGATCAATAGTATTGATTAGAAATAAAAGTAAGTCCATTTTAACTGATTCCATTTTCCATCATTTTGCTCCATAAAAAAGAATATCGTTCTAAAAATGTTAGATCAATTGAAATCATAGTTTATCTATTTTCATGTATATTTTTTTGTATTAAAAATTATTTATAGAAATTCTTTAATATTTTTCTTTGAAGTTTCATGAAACGTGATAAATCTATGACAGTTTTAATGGTATGATGACAGACGATCACCAATCTTGAAGGACTAAGCTCGTGCTTTTCATATAATGCCTTTTAATTAAAGTTAAAATTTAGTCTAGTTTTGTTTTATAAACACTGAATTACATATTAAAAACGATTAACGAGATTAAGCTCCTAACCTATATTATATGCGGTGGCTGATGTCGATGGGGGCGCTAATGGTAATAAATCCCTCTTCCAAAAGACTTCTGTCGACTTTTACTAGCGGAAAAGGCTTAAAAATGAGTTTCAAAACATATTTTATGATTGTGATCACCTTCCTTCTCCACTGAAGCTCCATTATCATAAAAATTCTAGATTCACCATTGATCAAAAGTTTAAAAAAGTCAAGCTAGGATCAGTAACATTGATTCAATTTCTTGCAAGTTGGAAAAAATTATTATTTGAATTATTCTGTAACACTTCTAATAGTTTTGTTTTATTTCAGAGTGAAAACTCACAGAAAAAAAAAATTTATGTACTGATCGAGAGTCGACTAAGTCATTGTGACAAAGAAGACACTTTTATTAGAACACATACATGACATTAAGATCTCTCTTTCTCTATTACTATATATTAAATAGTTTAGCCAACATGAGAATTCATTACATATACTACAGCTAACTTCGATAACTTTTAAATTTATGTAATACAATTTTTAAAAAATCATTAAAATTACAGAGAGAACCGCTTTTTCCCATGCGTTGACTAGCATTATTAAAAACAAAAGAGAAAAAATTTTCTTTTTAAATCGAATCAGAATTGAGATAATGAACAAACCTCTAAAGTAGCGCTTATGATATCTCGTCTAAATAAATATTGATCGTAATTCAAAAACGAATTTCATCCAAGGATTAAGTGAAAAACAATAGATTTGTATGACCTCTTATGTGTATTAATGATATAACAAGTATTTCGTTTTCTAACATTTTATAAATCGATTTATATGAAAATTAATAATTACTACTTTATATATTTTTTAAAATTCAATAATGCTAGTAGAAGTTTAGAATTAAAAATATGATAAATAGTAACATAAGAAAAGAATGGATGTATCGTGTTGTTATTGTTGTCTATGTTCAAAACAGTTAAATTTTGTCTAGTTTCTGGAGTTGACAATATGTCTGTCTGATGCATGCGACATTATTCTAACAGAAGTTTATTTTTGCAACATATGTATGTCAAAGGTCATGACAGTAAATTGAATTCATTCTATAAAATTAAACATAACATTACAATCAGTCTATCAGCTGCTATTACTTCATGAAAAGCAAAACATAAGAAAAAAAAAAGAAGATTGTAGCAAACAAGATAGGACAAGGAAACATGCAAGGATTAATTTTCCTCTTCAATTGACAATAGTTATACTAGATTACATAGCAGTTTACCAATTATTTCTATCGTCAATTGTAAAATCCAATGAACATATTCTATTAAACAAAATTCAATTCAATAAGTAATTATGCTGTTTTGATAATTGAATTTGACATCTACTGAAAAAATAATATAATGTCTGTAATGAAAAGACTAACATCGTTCATGAAAAAAAAAGAAAGATTAGAAAGAAAAAGCAGAAGAAGAATCTAATTGTTTTCTTTAATTTCCTTTTTCTGCAAGCATCTATATGATCGATATTGTCTGGAACAGATCAGGCGAGCCAAGCAACAGTAGATGTCCTTTGACATGTGCATTACACATTCCAATTCTCTTGTCGTGTTGTTGAAGGCGAAAAAGAGATGATAGTAGTTTTTACATATATTCTCATATGCATCAACAATGAACACTGCTCTAGATGATTATTCATTGTTGCCCTAGTATATATAGTTATATTCAATTTAAGGTATAGCGAAAAATGAGATATGTAAGTGTACTTAAGGTTCTTTTTTTTCTTGCTTTGCTTTCTGTTTCCTAGAAGAGAAAGTGATCAATCAAATTCGATTCTTTCCGATAACTCGAATGCGAGAGGAAGTTCCTTTTTTAGTATTATGTGTGGGGAAAAAGTTTTACAGCAAAGGTGGCTAGAGATTTTTTTTTTTCTTATGTTTTATTTTTTTTTATAAATAATTATTCCAAAGTGTTAAATCAAATTAGAAGAAAGAACATAATTCAACTATCAAAATCTCATGAGATATTGATTTTGAGTCTTTTGTTTAATGAGAAAACATTTTTGTATCAAAATTAAACGATAACATTTCTTTTCTTACTATATTTTTAAATATAATCAATCAATTTCTATTCATTTTTTATCGTCTACTTTAAAAAAAAATGACACAATAAGTTTTTTTTTTCCTTACTCCAGAATTATTTTATTATTCTTCTTTAAATTAAACTGAGAACGAACAATAAATATGTTCGGTGTCGTTCTTTCTCTTTCATAAGAAGTTCAATTTAATACATTCTATATACTCCAATCTTTGGATGAAAGCATACTTCTACATTTTTTTAATATTCTATTCAATTGATTCAATCACCTTTTTCGTTCACTATTTTTCTATTAATCATCATCAATTTTCCATTTTTCTTAATATGTGTGTAAATCACTCGTTTATAGTCAGTTCTTATATTTTTTTAAGGTGTCATCTTTCCTTGAATTTATTTTTCCTAATACTTACACTTGCTTGAATATGTCTTGTAATGATTCTGATGAACATGAAAAGCTTGAAGGAAACGAACGGACGAGCGCAAACAAAACAAAACTCGTGTCGTTTGTTGAGACGTTCATATTCAATTCATTGGATACCCCTTAGTTGTTATTTTTCTTGTTACATTTCATTAGAGTAAGAATGGAAAAAGAATAAATAAGTAAAGGAGGGAGAGAGAGAGAGACAAAAAGAACGTGTAGAGCTGTTTATCTTTCCGGCTACCGACATATAGAACCTTTATAAAAAGAATTGGTGTCGAACATTCTCTACTCATACACTGTTATCGCTCACACATATACGTTTCAAAATCTGAAGAATGAGTGTCTTACTGTGCGATTTCTATCTCATCCCTAGGGAGTCTTTGTGCACATTGGCTTACTGTATTAATGTTTTTTCTCATTTTTTTTGTTTCATACATTTGGGATTGAGTCTTGTGACTGTATCATATTAATTTTGATCTAGATTTTCTTTTATATTTATTTCAGTTCCTACAAATCAATCGTCATTATCATCATCTATATTTTTGTCATCAGTATTCTAATATTCAATTCTGAAAACTATGCAGACAAAATTCGTTTTTATTGTTGGTCTTCTAGCCGTCCTGTTACTATTTCACTTCAACACTGTTGTTGAGTCAACATCTCTTGAACACAGTGATGAACAATGGGATGATGAAAGCTCAGAAGATTTTGATTTTGACAAACGTCTTGCATCAGCAAAATTCGCCAGTGGACTTGGTAAAAGATTAGCATCAGCTAAATTTGCTAGTGGTCTTGGAAAACGTTTGGCATCGGCTAAATTTGCTTCCGGCTTGGGCAAACGACTTGCATCGGCTAAATTTGCATCAGGCTTGGGCAAACGAAGTGTCAATAAATAAATTAAAGAAATATATATGTCTTATATGAAGTATCAATTTATTTATACATACATACACACACGTTACTTTTTTTCATTATTTCATTATGTAGATCTGTGTGTGTATAGGATTTTCCCCCTGTGTATGATGAATAAGATGGATAAGAATTATACAACCATCAGATGGAATTTTTCTCCAGTTTTGCTTCACCACAAATAAAAAAAAATCCTTTCAAAAAAATCTTGCATTTTTATTTTAATAATATTGAATAGAAATACCAAAAAGTACATTTTACAAAAATTTCATAGTATCTGATGAGAAAATATACTTAAATTTGCATAATAACATGCCTATCATAAGTGTCAAAGATTGATCATGAAACAAAATAAAAAGGAAAATTTGAATATGTGATATTATCTTTTTTTATATCTGATGTTTCATTAAAATGAACGATTGATATCTTTCATATCCTATAAGGACGTTATAATCTGTATCAGAAATAAATAATAATTTACAAGAAATGATGAAAACCAATCAAATTAACAAGAATTTTTTAAATTGAACATGAGAGAGAGAGAGAGAGAGAGAGCGTAAGAGACATTTGAATAGTTCAATATTTCTAATTTTGATTTATCCATGAATAAATTCAATCCTGTATTCATCTTTATGTCGTGTTCATATGAGAAGAATGATATGAAAATTTGAGGAGGTCATCGTCTCGTCTTCTTAATATATACATATATATTTTTTTTTATTTGAATGTATTCTTTTTGATATAAACGACCATTGTTCATATGTCTACGGTGAATTGAACCGGAACGGAGACGATCGATAAGAAGAAATAAAGATCTGTACAACAACACTTTTTCTTTCTCATCAATATATATATCAGTTGGTCCAATTGTATATCAAAAAGAAATGTCTTACCGTTACGTCTATCCAAATAGGGCAACAGCCGTAGGTGCAGCTCCTGTTAGTGGTTATAATGTCGATCCAGGATTAATGTCTGCTGGTTATCCAAATGGTATGACAACAAATATGTATGATGATCGTCGACGACGGTAATAAATTATTCCTTTATTTGATTGATTTTTTAAGTATTTTTATTTAACAGATCATATTCACCCGGATCATTTTCGTCGGACAGTGAAAGTACTGATGATTATGAATATCGCGGGCGAATGATTACACGTGAAACACGATGTCCACGCGATGTTGTTCGTGCACCAACTCCACCTCCAATTATTAAACGAGTAGTTGAACGAGCTCCAACACCTGAAGCACCTGTTATGGAACGAGTATGTAATACATATTATAAAGAAAAAAAAACAACAATTGTTTGATTTCTTTTTTGTAATCCATAAGGTTATTATTCGACCACAAGCTCAGGAAATTGTTGAACGTGTTATTGAACAACCACGTACACCACCACCACGCATCATTCAAAAAGAAATGCAAGAAGAAGCACCACCACCAATTGTTCGAACACGGTATCTTTTCTAATAACCATTTTAAGTGTCAATCAGAAAAAAAAATTATTTTAATTAGAGTTATCAAAGTTGATCGTCCACTTTGCAATGCTTATAGTCAACCAGGTTCACCATTTGATACTCCATTTAATGGATTATCTTCATGTTCTAATGGTGTTATGGGAGGTAGTAATCCTTATCGAACTCATTCAATTCTAGGTTCAGTTGGACGACCAGTTGTATATCGTAATGTACATGATAATAATCCAAGTTTTTCATCGGCATCAAGTTTTGAATATAATCCACCGGCACCAATGGGAACAGCAGCTCCTCAAACAACAATGATGATGATGCCAGTACAACAACAAGTACAACCTATGGGTGTTATGCAACAACAATCAGTAGCACAACAAGTACAACCAATGGGCATCATGCAACAACAACCAGGACAAACTATGGGCGTCATGCAACAACAACCAGGACAAACTATGGGCGTCATGCAACAACAACAACCAGGACAAAATATGGGTATCATGCAACCACAACCAGTACAACAAATGATGTATCGACCAGTTCAAATACAACCATCAGTACAACAAATGGCACCTCAATCAATTCCACAATTATCATCAAATTATATTCCTCAAAATTATGTTCCTCAAAATTATATGTATCCAGCACATCAAGGAATGTCATTTGGTTATCGTCCAATGTTGCGACAAGGTAGAATGATTCCAAATGGTATGCAAATGATGGCTGCTGGTAATACATTTGCTCCACCAGCAAGTCATTTTCCAAATCAACCACCAATGTATAATCCAATGACTCAACAACTCGTCTATTAGAAATAATATCATTTTACACAAACTTTAATAATCATTTTCTGTCGAACTATTCAGTCAGATAATAATTCGATTTCTTTTGTGGGTTTCATTATTATTCATCCATTCATTCATTCACTCATTCATTCATTCATTCATTTTGTAGAAGAATAAAATTTCATCTTTTATTTATCCAAGATAAATTCAGATAGGAAAGTAAAGTTTTGCGTTGTATTTGATAATCTCATTGTCAAAAAATATCAATCATTCGATTAATTCATGTAAGAATTACATATATCGATATATATATATATCGTATTACGTTCATACAAATGTATATAGTCGTTGGTTTTTATTATTTTATTGTCAGCTCATTTATCATAGCTTTACATATATCAAGATTCTTTTTTTTTTACGTTGCAATGATTGATGATTGGTAACAAATCGAGTATTTGTTCTCTTTATAGTTTTTGAAACAAAAAGAAAGCAACAGTAATTAAAGAAAATGTGTTATGAGATACTAATAATTGATCTAATCTATTATTCCGATATGATAGTATTCTATAAAATCAGATTATTATTATCTTACTTCAATTTCTACTCGATGAATGTGTTAACACGTGTCAAGATTTAATAAGATATGAAATGAACTATTCATTAAAATCAATAGAAATTGAAACAAGAAAATGAGACAATAATTTCGGTGATTAGTTTTTTAATTTGAATAGTTCAAATAGTTATTATTGTTACAACAATATTATTTCTTAAAAAATCTATTTGAAAAAAGTATAACTCGAATATATTTTATCTTATAGATAAAAGCAAAACATATTCACTATACTCATATAAATACAAATGTTTATCCTAATGATTATGAGTTGTATCGATTATATATACTTGCTACAAAAGAATCGAATAGAATAATATAAATTTCTAACGAATTTACTTCGTCTGAAAGTTGACGTGATATATTATTTTCAGCAATGAAATTTGTCAAAAAAGTATCCCTTATTTATATGTATGCTATTTAACTGTTTTGCCTAATGGATCGACGTAATAAATTAGGTTCAATTCTTCTTTATCAAATTATACATGAAATAGTAAATATATATATTAGTGCCCAATCTGAGATGTTACATTATGCGGACATTAATTCAAGACATTCTCAAATTGACCAATTAAAATACATTCGATGTAAGATTCGCCTGAAAATTTTAGGTGAATATCAGATTGGCCTAGATCACTGGAGGATTGAATGGTTAATGCGACACTATAATAGAAAAATGTAGATGAAATTGAATTCTCATTTATGCTAAAACGAACGTAGAACAAGTACATTCAAATCTATGACATTCGTTCACTTTCCTTGGGCTCCTTGATTATGATTAAATATTGTATTTTGTAGAACATGAAAGACAATTATGAGATTCTGATCAGAGTACAGGATATATGTAGATTTGCAGAGGAATATTTCCTCTATCCAACGATATATATTTTATCGAATTCTCTTACATACCATTGAAGAAAGTTGAATTGAAAAATTATAGGTTTCAAATTTTTTAAGGAGACCCTCCTGTATCAGAATCTAACTCATGTACAGTCAAACTACAGCTTAATCATGTCACTTCTTGAAGAAACTTTATAAAGAATTTAACGATCGCACATAGAAAGTTTTACAAATAAGATTACAAGACAAGAAGAGAATCTCAAAAATCAGTAAACATAGTTAGTAAATGCTAATACGCAATAATTCTCGGCTTTTTTCTAAAGAGTAGATTGGTTTTTTTTAGCATTCTTATTAATAATGTTGTTTCCTGATTCTTGTTCATTTGTAAAGAATTCATTTGTTAATTCTTCGTCGGTTGTCTCGGAAGAACAAAGAACTCACTGCAATTGTGCGTATTTGAAGTGTATTTCCGATTGTCAAACATAAAACTATAAATATTGTTTCAAGTAGTATTCTGAAAATAGTGTAGAATTTCTTTTTCCAGACTTTTATAAGTCACATCGTAACTCGAATGTGAAGAAAAGTAACATAGATTATGCAAGTAGATTGCGCGAGCTGTTGAACACCATACACACTATTCGATTAGGTTCTAACTGATTCTACGTGATTTAAATTCTAGTATGACAGGAAATCCTTAAAAAATGTTAAATCCACAGTTTTTTCAATTCAATTTACTCCGATAATACGCAACCGAATTAGATAATATATAAATGTAACGTTGGATAGAGGAAGTCTAGCTAGTGATGAGCGGCTTCAATCGTTGTTTGGTTTCCTGTTTTACGGTCAAAAAAACATTCTTGGTTCTGAGTTCGCGCTTAGTAATACATTTACTAGCGAAAAATACAATGTCATTTTCTAGCAGTATCAATGCGCTCGAGACATCTTGCACAATCGGCATGACCTCTAATGTTCTTTTCCTTGAAAATTCATTCATTTCGTTAGACTCACAAATGCTTCATCTATTCAACACATCTATTTATTCGATAATCCTGTTCTTTATGAAAAAAAAATTCTAGCATCAAAATGTAACGGCAAATACTGAAGTGATTGTTACTCAATAATTTTTGCATAAACTTTAAAAACACATGAGTTATGAGAATATAATATTTGGCGCAAGTTTACACGATCATTAAAGATATCACTCCTAAGGGAAAAGTGTTAATCCTGATCATGTTTTCCAGCCCCAGCAGAACTTGGATCATCTTGCTCATATCTACATCTGGTTAAGTGTTGCTTTAATGTAATATATTAGTCAATCCGAGATTGGACACATTGTGACTGATCAATTCAAGAATGGCCTAAATTAATGTCCTTTCAATTTAGGATCTCAGATTGAACACTAGTATGTGTATGAGTGAAGAGCACAGCAATTGTACCGTTCGAAAAAAAAAATCAATAAAAACAGATTTAGTAATAAAAGAAAACTAAGTGTTGTATTCGATAGAGAAACGTCGAATGTGTATAAAAATAATACTTTATCAATATTTTCTTCTGTCAATGTTTAAATCAACATGCATGTCTTTTATTACGATGAAATTCATAAGAGACTTTAGCGATAACGGATGATAACGACTGACAAGTGCATTGTTTCATTGAGTCTTGTCAAGTTAGCGATAGACACTTTTTCTTGGATGTAATAAAAGTACGAAAATGGCAATATTACGAAATAGTTCTCGATACAGAGTCGATTTCTGTGTTCCATTTGAATGTATCAATCAGTCTCAGTGTATGATTTCTTCGAAACATGTCGCTCCAAACTTTGTTAGTAAAACTGGATCTTTTCTCGAATGAAAAAAGATTTTGCCTGGTTTTTTTAGAATATTACTCCATTGTCGGAGCTATAAAAAGGATCAAATTTTTATAATAAATAATTCAGTTTTCATTAAGTTATAGCAATAACAAAATTTTTAAAGTCACTCTACATACAGCATGAAGATCATTTTTTTAAATATTTTGTGTTAAATTTTTGTATTAAAGAAGTTAATAAAACAAACTTTTGTTACTTTTCTCCTATTTCTCTTTCATATGCATCCAAAATAGTTCAAATGAAATTTCTTCAAAACGAAAGTCAATAATTTTAATGTCGCTCTACACAAAAATGCAAAGTTTCTTAACGTCTATTATCGATAGTTTTTCGTTAATAAAACTTCGTCTAACACTAAAACCAGAGACATATTCTGAAAGGTCTTGAAAAGTTCTACAACAATAGCCGCAAAAATAGTTTCAAATAAAATCTTAATGGACTAAAAAAATTGCCTTTCTTCCAATAGGTGATATTAGAAGTTAGGTAATTGACACTGTTGCTACTATTTATTGGAAACTATAACATGGAAACTTAATTTGTTTCAGAAGCAAATGACCATTTTCAGATGAATAAAACAAAAAAACACTTATAAAAACCGATTGAGTAAAATTTGACTTCCAGGTATTTTTCTTTTCGAGGCATAACATTAGAATCGCTATGCTCTTCATGTATATGAAAATTAATTTTTCTTAATTTAATTTCTTTAGGCTAAGAGTCACAAACCACCTGTTGTCCATATTTAACTGCATACGAATTGGAAAAATTGTATAATTCATGTAATTTTCTATGTAAGAAATTTATCCCAAATGGTGATTCAAAACCATTCGAATCAGAATATAAATTTCGTCATATGATCCGGATAGAGTTACATATGACTAATAGTCAAGATTTAAAAAGCAAAATTTTGCCATGATTTACAAGCTGTAAAAATTCCACAATAAAATAAAAAAATTTATGCTAAATTTTGTAATTAAAATATACCGAATGAAATCAAAAGAAAGTCCGTTTCAATAAAAACAGATTATAATTATGAATTTTACTTGATGAAGCAAAGCAATTTCTTTTTCTATTATCTTTAATGCAGTGATTTTGATGTGTATACCGATTACAAATTCATTTGTCAAGAAATATCATTAGTGACAAATATTTGATGTGTCACTATAAAAAATATAATTGAGACAACGGATCATAGGAAATGGTTACTAATGGAATTAGTCATTAAGAATATATGAAAAAGGAAATGAAGAACATCCTTTCTTGTGTATTATTCTTACATATTATTTTAATGGGAAAAAATTACTTTAAATTAGTTTATTTTGAAATGAACTTTCAGAAAAAAAAAAACAAGATGAATATGAGAAGAATATGCCCACTCAATTTGTTCTCACAAATAGACAAGAATATAAGTTATCTTCATTAAGAAAATCGATTAACATTGACAAATATTTTATTTTCATTATATCAATAAACATAGAATTTAATAAAGACAAACGACTATTGGAGGAGTTCTATGGAATAAAAATATTCTATGACGATGTTTGATTACAATTAATTGAATTTTGTTCGTAATATACAGCAAAATTCATTGACTTCTGCCATCTATAGATGTCATGTTAGAAAAAAACTCTTTAAAAAACTAAACTATTTTTTTCAACTAATTTTTTTCTTTACTAAATATTTAAAAACAAATTTCGAATAATGTCAATATTATTTTTCTCTTCCTCATTATCTAATTCATTATGAGTGAATTGTTCAACGAAACAATATGGTTACTAGTCAACAAGCACTGTTCATTGTCTAGCATTTCTCTGTCTATTTAAGCGTTGTCTGCTCCGTATACTTGTCTATCTTCTCATCAATCGGAAGTCAATAATAATGCCTAGTTCACGTGATGACGATGTTTATCAAGCTAAATTGGCTGAACAAGCCGAACGTTATGAAGGTAAGAAAGATAATTTATTTTTCAAGTCCATACATAAGACTTGTTAATTAATAGAAATGGTTGAATCCATGAAAAAGGTTGCAAAAATGGATCAAGAATTAACAGTTGAAGAACGTAATTTACTTTCTGTTGCTTATAAAAATTTAATTGGTGCACGACGAGCATCATGGCGTATAATTACTAATATTGAAAGCAAAGAAGAAAATAAATCGGAAAATAGTAAAATGGCATTAATTAAAAAATATCGCTCTCAGGTTTGTTTTTATTAGTTTGTTTTTTTATCAATAAAATCTCGAGTATGTTTAGGTTGAAAAAGAATTACGTGATATTTGCCAAGACATTCTTGATTTACTCGATAAAAATCTTTTACCAAATGCTGCATCAGGTGAAAGCAAAGTTTTCTACTTAAAAATGAAAGGTGATTATCATCGTTATAAAGCTGAATTTGCAACACAAGATGATCGTAAAGAAGCAGCTGAAAATTCTCTTATTGCATATACAAAAGCTAATGACATAGCACAAAATGAATTACCACCAACACATCCAATACGACTTGGTTTAGCATTAAATTTTTCGGTATTCTATTATGAAATTCTTAATACACCAGAACGAGCTTGTCGATTAGCTAAACAAGTAATTTTATTTAAAATATTTAATACAAAAAAAAAAATCATTTAATTCTTTTTAAAGGCATTTGATGATGCAATTGCTGAATTAGATACACTCAATGAAGATACATATAAAGGTAGACCTTTTATTACTTTGCTATTGTAAATTTTCATTCGAATTATTGTTTAGATTCAACATTAATTATGCAACTTTTACGAGATAATCTAACATTATGGACAACCGATATGCCGGGTGAAACTGATAATGCTCATAATGAAGTTCAAGATGTTGACGATGATCAAAAGTGATTTAATCCTTCCAAATTACTTGTTGTTCACTCAAAAAAAAAATGAACTTTGAAAAAAGATTAAAAAAAAAAATAAAACCTTTTTTTTTCGTCATGTTTCAAAAACAAAATAAAAAGATTCTTTTTTGTTTTTTGTTTCATTGATTGTATCACAAACAATAAAAAAAAATTATATGTGTGTATTTGTATGAGAATCTCTTTGTGTGTGAGAATCGAACCTTTCTTCGTTTTTTTTTGAATGAAATATAAACGACGAGTAGATATAATTAGTCGGAAAAAAAAACAAACTTTTCTTTCTTGTATATTTACTCATCTAAACTCGTTCGTTTTCTTTTTTTCGCTCTACCCTTTGTATTTCAAATTACCACACACACATTCCTTATTTCGTTAAACGGGCTTGTCTTCAATATATGTGTATTCCTTAAATATGAAAATCGTTGTCATCCCATATTCTTTGTATTCTATACATATGCATAATATACATAAGTGTATCAATGTTCCCACCTAACATTTCAATTTTTTTTTATTTCAATAAAACATCTTATAGAATATTTTGCTGTCTAATCAATTAAGTTTGAGTTTGCCAAAGAAAACTAGATTTAGTATATTTGATTTAATATCAAATGTCGAATTATTCAAAATAAGATATGAAATATCAGCAGATAATGATTACAGAACTTTGATAATGAACGTTCGTTAGCTTGCATGACAATTAAGTTTAATTTTATCATGTTTATTGTTAATAAGAAATAACCATAGTCATAATTATACAAGAATTTGTTAAAATGAAGTTAATTTCATTTTTAAATATAGAACAAAATTATTTTTCGAGATTATGACATATTTTCAATCAATTTTTGATCAATATGATAGTATTAAGATCTACGTATGCAAAGTTATATAACTATGTTTGTTGTCTAATCATAATCATTCTTTCTCATCTCATTCAGTCAACCATCATTTTTTATCCAAATATCATTTATCCATTATAGCGTTTATTTTGACATGCAATCAAATAGCTTGTCAATATGTGAGCAGTTGTCAAACGTTTGACGTCAAATATATTCTATAGTTTCGATTTTTTTTTTTCGAAGACTAAAATGCTCTAATCTATCTTCAAATGAAGAAATACAAATACAAAATATAAGCATATAAACTAACATTGTTTGTCTTGATCATACTATACTTTAAATCAACAAAAAGAAAAAGAAAAAGAAAATCATTCACTATTACACTCGAAGTCATACTTATAACTGATTCTTCTGGCATGAATTATATTTTCACTAGGTGTTTTTGTAAACAATATACTTAAGAAGCATTCAACGTGTTTGATTACATAAAAGAGAAATAAAATATTTGGCTTTTTTTTTTCTTTAAGAAAAATTCTCTTGAAAAAAATATTAAAACTTTTCATATTTCACTGGCATATTTGAATGAACGATGAGCTATTACATTATATTATAATAATGATAAAATTTTGCGTATTATATAATCCAGATGTTATTTAAAAAAGAAAAAAAAAAGTGATTGTTGTGAAAAGTACTTGTCGATTCATTTGAAAAATTTTTTATATAATCTCACAACAACTAGTGATTACTGATATAGATTTATTTTATTTTAAATGAATCATTGATTTGTTTTCAAATGTTTGATATAAGCAAATAATTGAAATTTATTGATGAATTTGAAGACATGTAATATTGAAACCGTTAAGATACAGATATTATTTCAGTTTCAATTGAAATATGAACAGTTAATCGTGATTGATTTTTGTTAATCTGATTTATATTAATAGTAGTAAAATTACAAGGTTCCTATTCGTACTATTATAATTAATTCTTATATAAAGTCAAAGGTCACATTACTTTCAATAATCAAAATTAAAAATCTTGAGATTATTATTGAACATGCTTTATCATATAAACTTCTATAGTCAGATTATATCAGTCAAATAAATCTAATATTATCTTTCGAAATACGTATCAATTTTCATTAGTTTTTAAACTATGTGTTTGATTTAATCTTTAACTCATGAGAATCAGACAGGCATATACAAATCAGATGGACATAACGGCTGTTTAGTTCTTATCCTTCATGTTGACCATTACTCATCTTTACTATAGCATCATTTTTTTTCTATCACCCGTTAATAATTTATCCTTGAACGGTGATTGTTCTTTTTCTTGTTCGCTGTCAGAATTCATTGTTCATCATGTATGTCATCATCATCATCATCATCATCATTGCTGCGCTAACATATATTCATATACGATCTGCGTTTATAAAAAGGTTGTGTATTATATATACATGTATAGGCGTGTACATCAACTCGCGATGCATACACATGTATATATATCCATAGAACTATTCTCAATTTATCTTTTTCTTTTTCAATATCATTTATATATTTGTAATATTGAAATTGAATATTGAAAATATATGACCATCATGGTAATTGAAAAAATATATACAGTAATATAAAACAGGTAGGAAGTTCGAATTGTAATTTAGTTCTTCTTTTTTTTTCTTTCTATATTTATAAAAGTAGTAGAAAAGAAAAATATCATTGAACAAATTGGTTGAGTAAATATTGCAGACTACAGCCACATGTGCTGTATATATATATATGAATACATCTGTTTGTTCGTTTTCATATCGACTAATGTAAAGGCAACTTAAAGTCACAGACGTGAAATTGTTCATGAGACAAGCCATAGTCGGCATTCATAAGAGAAAGTCTACTCATTTAATCGTCATTATTGTCTCTCAGTGACATTTTGTACAGTTTGTTCATGATAAGTTACACGACTTGAGGCATTCTACGCTTGACTGCTATCAGCATGAATGTATATCATCAGAAGTTACCACCCGCCATAATCAATAGCAGAAGGTTTGTACGTCTCAAATGTTAGAAGTTTACATATGTCTATGTAGGAAAAGAAAAACGGTATTATAAATAATTATAACGATCATCATTGACATATATATATATCGATTAAAAAGACATTGTCTCTATTGAACACTGTCGAAATCAATGTAATGATAAAAGCATTAAAAATGAACATTTGTGATTGAAGTTTGCCTTGAAAAAAAGAGTAGAGTCAAGTATGAGAGTAAAATCGCTTTATGGATTGATCGAATACAAAAAGTAAAGCCTATTTATAAACTTATCAAGGTGAGTGATACAAAAAAGAATAAATCAAAATCAAAATATCTAATTGAATTACTTATACTAATATAATCATACGTATAAAAAAATATTTTGTTTGAGAAAAAAAGAAATTTTCGAAGACATTACATTTGTTTTTCTTTTTTCTTATATAAGATAGGAGAAATTTATTGACACGTAATAGATTTGAAAACTTCAAAGATGATTGAAGCTTGAATAAGAATAAAAAATTATTATATTTCAATTGAACAGTAGATCATATATTTGAGAATTACAAGCTGAATAAACATTCATATGACAAGTGCACTCTTTCTATATATTCTACGAAGACAAATAATTGTGTGCTTTTATTTCAATAGAAACACTCTTTCGATTTAGCTATACATTTTGAGAAAATGAACTTGAAGTTCAAAGAAAACAGTCTAATATGTGTGCATGTGTGTGCCTGCGAACGTTGACAGCTGCATGCGCCACTTTAAAGGTATATTCAAAGTAGAAAAGCTCATCATTCGCCATTTTCTCATTATGAACAATTGTTGAAATTAATCCATCTTTGCGGACATTGCATGCAACGTCACGTCAATTAGATAGGACCCAAGTGACCACAAACTTTTAATGATCTAACAGCACGCTATATTACCGATGGTAGTGGACTACAAGTACGCAAGGAAATGCTACTGTCACATGCACTCGTCAGATATTTGAGAAGAGAGAGAGTGTGTGTTTGTATGTATATTTGGCACTCGAATGCCAATGATTGACATACTCTCCATGATGATTGAACAGCAGGCAAAAGACAGAGAGAGAGAGAGAGGAAAAGAAAGAAGGGAGACGATGATCGAACGGAAGAAGGAGGAGAAGGAGACCATGTTAAAAAATCATCTTCCTTTGTGTGTCAGTCATTCTACGACGACACAGTAGTAATACGAATATACATACATTATAAAGCAAGCGAGTGTATGATGTGGACATATTTACATTTTAATAGTGAACGTGCACGCAATCTTTTTTGCACGATTGATTTGATGATGTGACTACATAGTAAGTTTGTTCGTCCATAGTTCTTGGACATATGGTTTTTTTCTCTTTTTTATTTGTCTGTTTTATTCAGTCTTTTGTTTCTAACACAATTCATCATCATTGTCAAACGAGACGAAGGTAACAGAGAGGTATTGCAATAATCATTACATATACATCTATAGCTATACATTGTTACTCTTTCTCCCTTCTCTTCTCGATTTTCTTCCAGCGGATCGAATTACTAACGAAAGAAAGAGGTCAGTTGAAGTATGATCGCTTATTTGACTGACTGTTGTCAGTAACAAGGTTTGAACAGGTGGGTGAGTGGGTGGACTCTTGAATCATTTACGTATATATCTATGCCTTGTTCGATAGAGTTATTGGTGATGGAGTGATCATCTAATATGAAATGATCTCCCTCCCTCTGTGCATATGCTGTCTACAATAATCATGGAGAGTGCGTGCAATGTCCACGTAATAGAGAAGAAAAATAGGTGCGATTATTCTCTAAGTAGTTAGATGCACATCACTGCTTATACATGTATTCGAATGAAATCGATCGATTGAAATAGATCAAAGAACAATCATTTGTTCTTGAATGTACAGTTTAGTCTTTTTTCATATGATCAACTGTCAATCATACTCTTATTCATTTCTTTTTTTTTTCATCGATTAAAAATTTTTATTTACAAGGTTACTATTGTATTATTTAAAATACAATATAAAAAAAAGAATTAGATCTTATTGATTTGATCAAAGATACGAATTCTTTTTTTTTTCTTATTCATGTCAGTCAAAACCAGAATAGCACA